CTCATGAGACTAGACCATCACAAAAATTTGTATTCATCTATCTCAAATAACGGGGCCGTTATCCCACTTTCCCATTTCAATGACTCACCGTGTATGAAATCAAGAAGGTGATTTTACTATATTGAACCTGATGATTGCTGGCAATATTGAACTCATCTTCATTCATATCAATATTGCTCCATTATCATCATGTTGACAGCTCGGTTGACAGTATCAAGACATAACACCTCAATATTATATTCGTATATTTGACTGAACTTCAGAAAGATAATATTGCTCACACATTGTACAGTGTGTCTCACTTACCATGCTCACCATGGGTTTCTTTTTAACGGTGAGAGATACGAGGTCGGTTAAATGACACCGAATGTGGAGTTTGTCAAGGCCAACTATAATGTGAAGAAATATTTTGATAAAATCTATTCGTTTTTGTTTTATACGCAAAAACAGATTTTGATCATTCTCATGTCTCCTCCGTAACTTCTTTATTTATCATATTCTCATGGCAGTTTTTCAAAGTGATTTTGAAAAAAATATGAAATTTATACCAACTCTTCTAGAATTTGAGATATCAGCACCAACTTTAGTTTTTCGAATGTAGGTCATAGCTCACTATGACTTAGTGTCAGATAACTTTTTTTCTTCTTTCCGATGATATGTTGCAGTAATAGTTTTGTGTTGATAACAACGGAGTTATCGTCATTTATACGAAAACAAAAAATTATTTGGAAGCCGCCATCTTGAATTTATGAATTTCAACAATAAAATCATGATCTGCGACCTCAAAAACCCCTACTCACCAATTTTGAATGGAATCGGACCAAATCTTGTCCGCCATCTTGGAGCAGCCATTTTTTTTAATTTCAACAAAAATTCCATAATGTATTGTCACCGAAATACTGAACACCTGCCAAATTTCAAGTTGATCGGAGTTATGGATTTTTTGTTGAAATTAAAAAAATGGCTGCTCCAAGATGGCGGACAAGATTTGGTCCGATTCCTTTCAAAGTTGGTGAGTGGGGGTTTTTGAGGTCGGAGATCATGATTTTTTTGTTGAAATTTATAAATTCAAGATGGCGGCTTCCAAATAATTTTTTGTTTTTGTATAAATGACGATAACTCCGTTGTTATCGACACAAAACTATTACTGCAACACATCATCTGAAAGAGGAAAAAAAAAGGTATTCGTGACTAAGTCATAGTGAGCTATGACCTACATTTGAATAACTAAAGTTGGTGCTGATATCTCAAATTCTAGAAGAGTTGGTATAAATTTCATATTCATTTCGAAATCACTTCGGAAAACTGCCATGAGAATGTGAAATTCCTATTTGAATATTTTCATAAATAAAGAAGTTACGGAGGAGACATGAAAATGATCAAAATCTGTTTTTTGCGTATAAAACAAAATCGAATAGATTTTATCAAAATATTTTTCCACATCATAGTTGGCCTTGACAAACTTCACATTTGGTGTCATTCAACCGACCTCGTATCTCTCACCGTTAAAAAGATACCCATGGTGAGCATGGTAAGTGGGACACACTGTATAATCACAACAACGAAGAAATATTGGGATCTAGTAATGCTACAAATAAATGAAATCAGGAAGTATATTACCCAATATTTAACACAATGATTATTTGCAATATCAAAATCATTTGAATTTCTTTATACTGCTGCATTATCATTCTGATGAAGTTCACATAAGTGACACTGATGAAATATTGTTATCTCATCATCGAATTCATATCGAGTTTTTGGTATGGTACACATATTATATGGAATCAAAAGTCGACATTACGATATTGAACCTAATGATTTTATGCAATATTGAAATCAATTTGATATCTCAATATTGCACCATTATCATCCTGTTGATGATATCGAGATATTATAACTCAATAATTGATATGAATAAGAAGTGTTACATATATTTCCGTCTGAATTTCGAACGAATAATATTGCTTAAACATTGTGATGTGAGATGGTACACATATTTGAAATCAAGACGTTGACCTCACAATGTTGAAGCTAATGCTTCTTCGCATTACCTAAGTCATCTCAATTTCTCGATATTGCTTCATTGCTATTCTGTTGATATTATCAAAAGATCACAACTCAATATTAAGAACGTATAATCTACTGATTTTCGACCGAATAATATTGCTTGCCCATTGAGATCACATCATCGGATAGATATTGAAATTTATTCATGTTACAATTAAATAGAATCAGGAAGTCGGTCCTAAAGCATTGAACACAATGATTATTTGCAATATCATTATTATTTTCATTCATCAATATGGCTCTACAATCCCTTAATGATAGTTTCAAGAGATAACAACACAATATTGTAAACATAAAATTGACTGGAATATGCATCAATAATATTGCTCTAATATTGAGATTTCATCATTGAATTGATATTAGGTGTTTGATATGGTACACATATATGGAATCTAGAAGGTGACTTCACTATATTGAACCTGATGTTTGCTTGCAATATTGAACTCATCTTCATTTCTCAATATTGCTCCATTATCATCATGTTGATAGTATCTAGAGATTACGCCTCAATATTATATCAATATAACTGACTGAACTCAGGATGGATAATATTGCTCGCACATTGTAATGACAACATCGAATTGATATTGGTATCTGATTATGGTACAAATATATGGAATCAGGAAGTTGGTTTCACAATATTGAACACAATGATTATTTGCAATATGATGATCATATTCATTTATCAAGATTGCTCTATTATCATCTTGATGATAGTTTCAAGAGATAACAGCACAATATTGTATACATAAAGTTGACTGGAATATGCATGAGGAATATTGCTCTGATATTATTGAGATTGTATCATCGAATTGACACTGAGTTTTTGATATGGTACACATAAATGGAATCAAGAAGTTGAACTCACGATATTGAACCGAATGATCATTTGCAATATCGAATCATCTTCATTTCTCAATATTACCCCTTTATCATCCTGTTGATAGTATCAAGTGATTATACCTCAATATTATATCAATTTAACTGACTGAACTCAAGATGGATAATATTGCTTGCACATTGTGATGACAACATCGAAATAATATTGGGATCTGATTATGGTACAAATATATGGAATCAGGAAGTTGGATTCACAATATTGCACACAATGATTATTTGCAATATGATGATCATATTCATTCAACAATATCGCTTTTTCATCATCTTGATGATACTTGCAAGAGATTACAACACAACATTGTATACATGAAGTTTACTGAAATATGCATAGGTAATATTGCTTTAATATTGAGATTTTATCATTGAATTGACCTTGGGTTTTCGATATGTTTAACATGAATGGAAACAAGAATCAAACCTCACGATATCGATCCTAATAGTTATTTCCAATATCGAATTATCTTCATTCCTCAATATCGCTTCTTTATCATCATGTTAATAGTATCAAAACATCACACCTCAATATTATATCTGTATATTTGACCGAACTTCGTATGGATGCTTGCACATTGTGATCACAACATCGAATAAATATTGGGATCTGTTTATGGTACAAATATATGAAATCAGGAAGTCGGTTTCACAATATTGAACATAATGATATTTCGCAATATCTAAATCATCTGCATTTCTCAATATTGCTCATCCTGTTGAAATCCACTAGAGCAATATCGCTGGGATATTGGGATTTGATCATTGAATCCATATAGAGTTTGTGATATGGTACACATATATAGAATGGATTCATCGACCTCACGATATCCAACGTGATGATTCTTTGCAATATCGAGGTCATCTCCATTTTCCAATATTGCTTCATTATTAAACAGATGATGGTGTCATAAGAATACAACTCTTTATTGTATACATATAATTTACCAATATCCACACAAACAATATTGGTGCAATATCGAGATTTCATCATTGAATAGCGGTTTTGTATTCGATATGGAATACATATAGTAAATCAAGAAGTCCACGTTACGATATTGAACCTGATGTTTTATGGCAATATCCTCCAAGATACATTCTATCGATATAGGTTACATATCCAGTTGTAATATGAACTGATATCAGGCAATCAATATATCTATCATGAAGGTTTGTCAATATCGAGACATAAATCATCAGGATATAGGAGGAATATAGATTTCATCACATATGTCATTATGAATATCGATACAATGTAGGATTCTCAAGATCCTGAAAAATGTAAGCCTATCAACATTGTATATAAATTGATCCATCCAGCACATTTATTCAATATCGTTACAATATCATCCGACCGATTTACGATATTCAAATATTGGGCCAATGCAGAGCCGATTTGCAGCCGATATTCTGTGCTACTGGGGATATCACTTGCAGAGGATTTAATGTCTGATTCAGCTCTTGCATAGTGGGATTTGAATGTAGGGACTTTTCTAATCTGGTTAATCTCTCCTGTGACTTCTTTTTCATTCAATCTATTGAAGCCACCTTGTTTGACACCTCTTTGGTCAGTGAGTGAATCAGATGTCCGAGTATTCTTCAAAATTGTATTAACCCGATTTGGTGATATTCCATAAGTTTGGACAAATAAGTCCCTACATACCTGTGTGCCCTGAATCTTGTAAATTCTTGAGAATTCTTTTTTCTTGGTGACATTTTGTTCCTGAAAATTCTTTACATAGCATTTTTTCTTATGATATTCACTTATGTTACTTTTTATATAGAAACTTTGAGCCAAATATGACCCTAATTCCAAAAATTTTTGTCTCTCATTTTTCCTTATTTCTAGAGAAACCTTTTCCCAACATTTTTGTTTGCACTGACAGTGGATATCTTCAAATTCTCTTGCTGGAATGACTTGTTTTTTATAATTTGAATATTCTTTATGCATGTATTTGTTTTTAGACCTGTCTTCACGTAAAAGTCCTCCATATTTCCTTTTTCTTCCCCTTTTCTTCCTATACCTTCATTATTTTGTCTCATCTGATCATTATTAGGTTCAATGTTCTCATCCTGTTCTTTTTTATTTGTATCATTTTCCTCTTCATTGTTGTAATGATTTTGTTCATTTCCAAATTCTTATCCATCATTCTCAGTGAATTATTTACATTTTCTTTCTCATCATTATATCCATCATCCTGTGTACTGAATTTTCCACTGCAAGTCATATTTTCTTCCTTGTTATCATGAATCTGTGTTTTCTCTGATATCTTGTCATATTCTGTATTCTCATCATGTTCACTAACCCCTATATTTTTTTCTTTGCTCTTAAATTTCTTGTGAATGTTTTTCTTCTTGACCAATATTTGCTGCAATTTTCTACGTTTCTTTGGTATCTGGAAAATATATAACAAGTTTTGTTTCTAGATGTGTATGAATTCCTTTCCTAGATATTATGATCAGTTCTTGACTATAATACCTACTTACCTTGTGAAAACTATTCTCTGTTTCAGACTCATCAGAGTAAGATGAGTCAGAACTGCTGCTTACATCTGTTTCTTGTGTGTATGTTAGGTCTAAATCAGAATTATCAGACCAATCAATAATAATATTGCTATTACTTCTTAAATCATCAATTAGAGTTTCAGTATCTGAATTATTATTCTTTGCTGGAACACAGGAAGTTGCCTTGAAAATCTTGTCTTCTGAAGAAGATGGCAAATATGAATACCTACTATGCTACTACTACAGACTACTACTTACTCCAGTGGCGTAGCGTGCATTGACGGGAACCCGTATAAAAAATTGTTTGGGGGCCCTTATATTGTTTGGGGGTAAAGATTTTTCACAAAAGAAAAAAAATATTGTGAAAAGAAATATTTATTTATCATAACATAATTCAACCATTTTACTAATAAAAATCAAATTTCAAATATTCTTTCTCCTTGCCTTTTTTTCGGCAAACTGATTCATTAAATCATTCATGGCTGATGATGATTTTAGTTTTTCTAAAGTTTCTACCTCTATGGACAATAGTGAGAGGTCTGACAGCCGTTCTTGTCCCATCGAAGTTCTTAAGTAATTTTTTATAAGTTTTAATTTTAAAAAACTTCTTTCAGCAGTTGGCGTTGTAACTGGAAGGGTCACGAATAAAAAGCATGCTGTGATTACCTCGGGAAAACTAGATGCAAGACTATTGAATTTTACTAGCAATAATTCGATGAGTTCTTTAATGGAATAAATTTTCTGAATTTCAGATTTAAAGCATGTTTTTAGAGCCTTCAATTGGTCACAAAGATTAACTGATATGTCTTCACTGTATTTAACCGACAGTTTCCCGGAAGCGATTAATATCTCTTCGTTTGAAGGATATAAGAGTTTCTCCGGTTGTAATATTTAGAACATACTACTCAGGTCGCAAAGGCTCTGAAATCTTTGTTCAGTTTGAGAAATTAATATATCTAAACAGCAATAGTATACATTGACTTTGTAATAGGATTCCGGGTCGGAAATTCTCTCATCTTGTGATAACTCATCAAAAAAACGCTTCGTTATCTTTCGCCTACTGTTTTTAAAAACAGTTGTTACCCCCCCACTCTTTTGCTAAATCTTTGGACTCATTTAGCAAACTATTAAATGAAATCTGATTTCTTAATTGGCACAGTCTATTTAAAAGATTACTTAATATAATACTAGATTTCTGTAAGTCATTATTTTCATGCTGTAGAGCTTCAGAAATAGGATTAATAATTTCAAATAGTGAAGAAAAAAATGTAACAAGCACTAAGAAATCATAACTCTCTAAAATTTTAATTATATTTTTGCATTCTTCACGTTCATCTTTATTATTAGAAATTAAATTTAGTTGGTACAAAGTTTTCATGATTAGTAAAAAAATTTTCTTTACCGCTAATAGAGCGTCGTTCCTAGAAGACCATCTGGTTGGACATACCTTTTTAAGAGTAATCAAATATTTTTCAGATGGATCGTCACTTAGCATAGCCCAGCGTTTTATACTATTGCCAAAAAAAGTATATATTTTTTCTAAATTATCGAAAAAAGTCAATACTTCACGAACGTGTCTCGCAGCATCGTTCAAAACTAAGTTTAAAGCGTGCGCAGCACAATGAACATAATCGGCATTTGGAGCATGCTCTTTTATTAGGGTTTGTAATCCTCCATAAACACCCGACATAACATTTGCTCCATCGCAACCCTGTCCTCTACATTTAGTCAAATCAATTCCATATTCTTTAGTCAAATTTAAAATGTCAGTTTTCAGACCTGCAGCACTGCAATCGGTTACTGCTATAAATCCTAAAAAGGACTCACAGATTTTTATTTCTTTAGGCACATTATCATCATTTTCTGTAACCGAGATATATCGAAAAACATCAGAAAGTTGGTCAATTTTTGACAAGTCTTGTGTTGTATCCAGAATTATTGTCAGAAATGGAGCTTTTTTAATTTCTGAGATAATATTGTTCCTAATGGTGGTACCAAGCAAACTAATAATTTCCTTTTGAATCGTAGGGCTTAAATAATTTATTTCGCCTTTCGGTTTAAGAAGAAGTTCTTTTAAAGTTGCATCATAGTTAGATAGCAAACGTAAAATTGCCATAAAATTTCCAGAATCAGAATCATGCCCTCTCAAAGATAGATTACAAGATGCTAAAGTAATTATAACATTAATTATACGATGCAGTACATCTCTCCAGAATGTAATTTTACTATTGATTACACTTTGCAATAGAGTATCGATGGTATTTCCTTGTAACCAATTATTATAAGAAAGTGAGGCATTCATATGCTGCTGTGACTTTTCATGGTCAAGTATAGTTTGCGTAAAATTGCTTCTAACCGAAAACACCGTTAACCCAAGCAGAGGAGTACGATTTGTTTTGACGATCTGCTTATGTAGGAGGACTTAAAAGTGGCATATAGAACAAATAACACGTTGGGACGGTTTATCAAGAATAATAAAGACAAAACTTCTAAATTCGAAAAATCAGGGGTATACAAACTCAAATGTGGATCTTGTCCTAAGGTATATATCGGTCAGACAGGTCGTACGTTTAATCAGCGCATTCATGAACATAAGATGAATTTTATGAAAAAGAAAACAAATTCAACATACGCCAACCATACATTAGAAGAAAACCATAGTTTCGATGATGATTTCGAAATTCTGCACGTAGAAAATAAAGGACGGAAACTCAATCATTTTGAATCATTAGATATCAGCAAACTCAAAAATTTTGACATTTTACTTAATGATCAAGTAGACCTCAATAGTTCACTACTGTTGCATTTGTTTTCTTAGTAAGTAATAATATGTATTTGATATCAACTCTTTCAAGTTAATCCGGTATACCGTAATTTAATGTAGATATTGTGCCTAATTTCCGAAAATGGAGGTTTATCGTACCTGTCCACAGGTAACTAATCCTTCAGGTTGGGAAGGTTAGATATAAAAGTTAAGCAAGCCAACGTTAGTTTAGTTCATTGTACCAGTATATCACCTGACGAAGCTACTGTGTTAGCGAAACATGTCGTGTGTTTGATAAATTTTGTGGAAATCTTATCGTTTGTGAAGTTTTTACATTTATCGTGAATTTCCATCAAGTAACGGCCGAGTCAATTCAAAATAAACATTGTTATTGTCAATCTATCTCCTTGTTCAGTTTTTTCGCTTAGTAATATTATTACTGCAATATTCAACTGAGATTTTTAAAAATTGCGAGTTATTCATTATGCCGATTTCAGCTTGATGCGTTCCAAATTCTAGAACAATTTTGAGGATTGTGCGGAGATTGCGACGAAAAAATGTTTCAAAACGAAAAATATGGATGTTGTTTGTAATTTTTCCATAAACTGGAATCAATCTATTTGATGAATTCATTATCAGTGTAGAAATCAATATAAGAGCTGATTCAAATTGGTTAAATATTTTCAAAAACGAGAAAATAAAAGCATTCGAAAGAGCGAACAAGAATACATAAAAACGATACTATTATCAAAATACAAAAAACTGTAGCTGTTTTCGAGATATTCGAGTTTTTGCAGTCACATTATATCAGCAGATCAATTCATAGGTAACAATATATTAGGATGCCGAGATCAATTTTGTTCTCAATTTTGACGTTCATGACATAAAAATTGTTATTGCCAATCTATCTCCTTGTTCAGTTTTTTCGCTCAGTAATAATATTACTGCAATTCTCAACTGGGTTTTTCAAAAATTGCAGGTTATTCATTATGCCGATTTCAGCTTGATGCGTTCCAAATTCTAGAACAATTTTGAGGATTGTGCGAAGATTGCGTCGGAAGAATGTTTCAAAACGAAAAATTTGGATAGTGTTTGGCCAAGAAGTTAGAGGCATCCTGGAATAGGACTACTGATGAATTAATCTGCTGATATCATGTCACTACAAAAACTCAAATACGTCGAAAACGGTAAAAATTTTTGTATTTTGATGAGAGTACCGTTTTTATGTATTTTTGTTCGCTCTATCAAATGCTTCAGTTCCTTCAGCGAACAGAATACGGAAACAACATTTATCCTCAAAGAATCATCACCCATCCTCTAGAAACACACTTTATTACAATATCTAAAAAATATAGAAGTATATAAAAAAAATGGATATGCGTGAAAATATTTCCAGTTGATCAACTTCAGAAGGATATATTATCTCCCTAATATACATTTTGGGTCATTATGCATTCATCAAACTATACTAATTTTTCGATGTACAAATCATTCAGAAAGTTCAGTAAACATTTTTGACTCACCCTGTATAAGTTCTTATATAAACCCGAAACATGTACCTTCGATGATTTTCGATCATTGTGAAAAAAGTTGTGGAAATTGGAATGTGAGTAGGCAACTAAGTAATTTTATCATCGAGTATGATCATGATTTCCTTTAGTCATAGAACAAACGAGATTCCGTTACATCTCATCTCAGTTTATGTCATAATAAAATGATGAAGTTTATCTCACCTCCCAAATGGTCCTTTAGTTCAAGTGATTCTAATAGTTGAAGAGTTTTTTAACCTCAATTGTAGATCTTTTCAGCCTCAGTGATTTTTACATGAACTGGAATCAATCTATCTGATGAATTCATTATCAGTGTAGAAATCAATATAAGTGCTGATTCAAATTGGTAAAATATTTTCAGAAACGAGAAAATAAAAGCATTCGAAAGAGCGAACAAGAATACATAAAAACGATACTATTATCAAAATACAAAAACTGTATCTGTTTTAGAGATATTCGAGTTTTTGCAGTCACATTATATCAGCAAATCAATTCATAGGTAACAATGTTTTAGGATGCCGAGATCAATTTTGATCTCAATTTTGACGTTCATGACATAAACATTGTTATTGTCAATTCATCTCCCTGTTCAGCTTTTTCGCTTAGTAATAATATTACTGCAATTTTCAACTGAGATTTTTAAAAATTGCAGGTTATTCATTATGCCGATTTCAGCTTGATGCGTTCCAAATTCTAGAACAATTTTGAGGATTGTGCGAAGATTGCGTCGAAATAATGTTTCAAAACGAAAAATATGGATGGTGTTTGGCCAAGAAGTTAGAGGCATCCTGAAATAGAACTACTGATGAATTAATCTGCTGATATCATGTCACTACAAAAACTCAAAAACATCGAAAACGGTAACAATTTTTGTATTTTGATGAGAGTACGGTTTTTATATCTTCTTGTTCGCTCTATCAAATGCTTCAGTTTCTTCACCGAACAGAATACGAGAAAAACATTCATCGTCAGGAAATCATGATCCATCCTCTGAAAACAAACTTTATCACAATATCTGAAATGTAGAAGTGTACCAAAGAAATGGATATGCGTGAAAATATTTCCATTTGATCAACTTCAGAAGGATGAATTATCTCCCTAATATACATTTTGGGCCATTATTCATTCACCAAACATAACTAATTTTTCAATGTACAAAAACATTCAGAAAGTTAAGTACACATCTTTGACTCACCCTGTATAAGTTCTTATATAAACCCGGAACATGTACCTCCGATGATTTTCGATCATTGAAAAAAAAGTTGTGGAAATTGGAATGTGAGTAGGCAACTAAGTAATTCCATCATTGAATATGATCATGATTCAGTCATAGAACAAACAAGATTTCGTTACATCTCATCTTAGTTCATGTCATAATGAAATAATGAAGTTTATATCACCTCTCAAATGGTCCTCTAGTTCAAGTGTTTCTAATAGTTGAAGAGTTTTTTTAACCTCAATTGTAGATCTTTTTAGCCTCAATTATTTTTCCTTAAACTGGAACCAATCTATCTGTAAATTCACAACTCCTGCATTAGGAAAAATCAAATCATAATCTATGTTGATCTGACAAAAAAAAATTATCAATGTGGATATATCAGAGAAACCAGATTGTAAAATATGACAATAGACAATAATTAGATATATATAGTTGTGTCCAAAAGTTGCATAAAACAGACAGATTCAGAGAATGAAATGAACTGTTACCTGAAAAACTAATATGTTTAATTTTACTAGAGCCATTATTTGACATTTGTGGATTTCTAGTTGATAAAATGAAAGAAGTAATGATATATTCATAACATACCAACACCACTGCTCCAGGGTCTCTTAGAATTGGCCATTACGAAAAAGAAGTTTTCGACTGTGCTAGCAACCAATGACCTTCTGGTGCCGAATGTATATTTCCACTCTCCAATAACCCCTTTCCAGGACTCTACCTTGTGTCTAGCCATCTTTTATGTTCATAATAGTTTTCAGGAATATCCGACCCAGTCTTGCTATCATTACCTCTGGTTTTTCAACTTCTAATCAATCTGCTTAATTGTTGGCAGGATAGACTTGTGCACCCTACATACATATGGCGAAAATGTTATGTTGACAGTTGTCAGAAATAGATTCGATATTCATTATCAAAGTTAAGTATTTGATTAATTATTCGATAACGTCTCATAGTTGTATATCTGAGTCGTTAACAGTTAGCGACGAGGATCATGCACACTGAGAAGCTAGCTGGAACAGCAGAAGAAAATACTGAAAATGATAACTGAGAAAGTCACATCTGCACAGTGCTTTTATTTCAAAACTTACCACCCTGCATATCTTCTTATCTGCGATGATTACAATTTTGGGGAAAAACAGGTCGATTTAGATCTCGAGGGGGAAGTGAAATAACAGTATCAATTGAATTCTATGTTCATCCTCTTCAACCCCAGAAACCCCTACTTTGAAATCTCAAATGGCACTCCCTACTTTGAGATACATAAAATTGTAGGTCTATCATTGATCAAATCAACCAGGTGAAAAAATATTCATTTCGTATACAGGGTGAGTCATTAGGTACTGTACATACACCTACCACGAACAAACGCTTCTGAGGGGAATACCGAATGGTCATCTGGAGTTTTCCTCCTCTTTTGCAATAATAAACAGGGTAATTCATAGGATTGAGCGAAAAAATATTTTTGTCACAACCTTTCAACAGATTCTTTGATTCATTCCATTTTTTCATGGAACATCAAGCACTCCAACACGAATAGACTAACGTATACAGAATTGAAAAAAATCCATGACCGTACTAGTGAAATGTTGCCAGCTATCAATGAGTTCACTCTGTATATGGTTTCAGTGAACAATTACATATTTTCTGTCAATCAGAACAAAATGTGTTGGTGCTTCATCCAGCTGAGAATGATTTACCCTACTACATAGTTCCTTTCAAAACCAACTAGAATGATTCATTTTGACGAATCGTGTCTCACTTACAGAAGACGATCATGACCGCAAAATCGAATTTTGCGAGATGATGTCTGGAAAGATTCAACAAGATGCCAGTTTTCTCAAGTACATCTGTTTCAGTGATGAATCAACGTTCCATTTGAACGGCTCTGTTGATAAACATAATTGAAAATTTTGAGACCATGAAAATCCACACATATTTCGACAGGACGATACTCAGTTTCCTGAGAAAATCAACGTGTGGGCTAGTATTCTAGGAAATGAGATGATCGGATCACTCTTCATTGAAGACAGTTCAAATGGATAATTGTACCTGGATTCATTGGAAAAAACAATTGATCCCCTCACTACACAATCTTTAGAGAGGCCAATCGATGATCATGAAAATATTTTGCTGGACGAAAATAACCTGTTCTTTCAGCAGGATGGAGCTCCACCACATGTTTTTCTAGAGGTGAGAGAATGGTTGAATCAACGATTTTCTAGGCAGTGGATTTGCAAAAGAGGTGCCGTAGAATGGCCAGCAAGATCTCCAGATCTGACACCTCTTGACTATCATTTGTACGGTCACTTGGAAACAATGTTTCATAAAACTCCACCAGAAGATATTGATGAACTCAAAAAAAGATTCATTTCAGAATGCAGACAAATCAATCGGGAAACGTTTCAGAAAGTTCGTGAATATTTCGAAAATAGGCTGTACTATTGTCTAGACAATAATGAAGCACATTTTGGGCAATTGCTCCGAATACCATTATAGAAAATTGCATTTATTTTTAGACAAGATTCTTCAAAATAAATCATTCTATTTGTTTTTGAAAGGAACTAGTAGGGTATACCATTCTCAGGTGGATGAAGCACCAACACATTTTGTTCTGATTGACAGAGAATATGTCCTTGGTGTTGGAGTGCCTAATTCTTCATGAAAAAATAAAATGAATCAAAGAAGCTGTTGGAAAGTTGTGACAAGAATATTTTTTCGCCCAATCCTATGAATCACCCTGTTTATTATTGCAGAAGAGGAGGAAAACTCCAGATGAACATTCGATTTTCACTCAGGGGTTTCTGTTCGTTGTAGGTGAATGTTCAGTATCTCATGACTCACACTGTATACGAAATGAATATTTTTCCACATGGTTGATTTGATCAATGATGGACCTGACATTTTATGTATCTCAAAGTAGGGGGTGCCATTTGAGATTTCATAGTAAGGGTGTCTGGGGGTGGAAGGGATGAACATAGCATTCAATTGATACTGTTATTTCACTTCCCGCTCGATATCTAAATCGACCTGTTTTTTTCCAGAATTGTAATCTTCGCAGATCAGAAGATATTCGGGCTGATAAGTTTTGAAATGAAAGCACTGTACAAGCTGAAGCAAATCAAATACAACAGCTCTTGAGGAAAACAAACCCAGGTGATTTAAACACTTGCCAAAAAGGTTCCAGTGAAATTAGTGGCTGACAAAACTGATAACTCAGAATTCAATATCGAATCTCTCGCAAGAAATGTTGCAGAATTCGTTACCGGTATTGAAAACAACATCTCATTTGGAGCATGGTTCAAACGGTATGGAGACCTTTTTGTATTAGATGGAGACAAACTTTCTGATGCAGCTCCAGTTCACGAGCGATACATGAATTTCAGTCTTCCTTAGAATTCACGTGAAATCAATTCGGAAGGAACAATAAATATGATGTAGAAAATTGGACACAGGACTTCTGTATTCAGTACGAATTAAATATGTTTCCAGATGAATAAACGCGATTCAGATGACTTTTCAACATATGCAGGTATCGTGAACAAACACTGTGAAGCTTTCAAAATGAAAGAGCTATCAGAGAACCAATTCAAATCTGTTTATTATTGGGTTGGAGTCATCAGAATATTTAGATATCACCACAAAACTCCTTCCTAAAATTGACAAGGATCAAAAAGATGACATTTCACTGGAGAATTGAGTTGATGAATGTCACAAAATGCATAGTATGAAAGAAGACGTTGTTCTTATTCAACATAAAGAAATCAATGTCAACGCTTTTCAAACTAAACATATGTCTCATTCAACCCAGTTCGAATATGAAAAATCAAAGAAGCCTCGAACTTTTTGTTTGCAGTGCGGGGAAATGCATTACGCCAAGGATTGTTTTTATACCAATCACAAATGTAGAACTTGTGGAAAGATTCACCACAAAGAAGGGTACTGTTCTTGTTTTCGAAAATCTGTCCATTCAACCAGTTCAGGTAGCACTAACAATTACAAAAACAAGGATTTTGAGAGAAAAAATCAACAAAGAGAGTCTTCAGAGAACGGAATTTCCATTCTCAATGAAGTTTCATCAAATTGTTCTAGGAAGTTCATTCAATTATCTATCAATAGTACTCCTATTTCACTTCAATCAGCTTTAGCCCCAGATATCACTATAATAAGTGATGAGACATGGAAATCACTCTGAAACAGAGCATGTAGCAGTTAATGCTTCAGGGCATGAAGTCATTTCGTAAGGAACAATCAACTGTGAATTTTCACTGAATCAACAGGAAAAACATCATGGCACATGTTTAGTACCTGCAGTTGAAGATTTGAACCTACTTGGTATTGATTGGATTGAGAAATTAGGGTTATGGGATATTCCGCTCAATTCAGTTTGCAATAAAGAGAATTTATCTTCAAATGTCCCTATTACAGTGGATGAACTTCAGAAAAACTTTCAAGATATTTTCCAAACAGGATTGGGTCATTGCACCAAAACGAAAGTCAAGTTATATCTGAAGCAAGATGTTGAGCCAGTTTTTTGTCCAAAACGTCCTGTTGCATGTATTGTTCGAGCTGTTTCAGAGGCAAAATTACAGAATTATATCGACTCGAAAAAGAAAAAACCATAACAGCCACTGATTTTTCCAAATAAGCAGCATCGATAGTTGTTATTCAGAAGCCAGATGAAAGAATCCTTATTTGCGCTGATTATTCCACAGGACTAAAAGATGCTTTGGAATCACATTGTTATCCATCACCTTCACCTGAAGAAATTTCTCTTAATCAGCAAAGCAGTGATTTTCACAAATATTGATTATCTCATGCCTACTTTCAAGTTGAAGTGGACGAATTATCAAAGGAATACCCACACAGGACTATACCAAACTATATTCAAAAGATTATCACAAGGTATCAAAATCGCTTCATGTACATTTCAACAAATCATGGATACGATGCTTGCTGGTTTAGACGGAGTTGCACCCTATTTAGCGTTGCCAGGACTTTTCTCACAGTTGTATCAACCTGAGTGGAGAGAATATACCACTAGGAAATATTCTAGTGAAAAAATCATGAATTATGTACGTAGAGAACACTCAGTCAGATAAATGATACAAATACCTGGTATAGTTTACACTTGCTGATTGCAGTTGTTTCATCTTGAAGTACATGTATTTAAAACAATAAACACGTTCAAACTTCTTGACTTTATTTAATAAATATATTATAGAAGTCTATACATTTGTAATGGCGAATAATCGACAATAACTACGCTTCTCATTTGTTATATGACAAACCATACTTTACAGAATTGTATACATAGTGATTCACAATATTAAACAGAATATCAACACTTCCTCCCAATTCTGCAAACGAATCCAATCAAATCTAAACACCGAGTACAATAAATATTCAATAATTTTATTTCTATTAATCAACATCATAGAGGCCAATACATTCCCTAAAGTTTACAAATTTAGTACATTGTGAAGGTTCAGTCATTATATCAGCATATTGATGATCTGTGGGCAAATACACAATCTTAACTATATTATCAAGAATACAATTTCTGATAAAGTGATGCCGAACATCAATATGTTTGGATCTCTTTGTCTCTAAAGTTGTGGCTATCTTTATACAAGATTGATTGTCTTCATAAATCATCATAGGATCAATAGTTCCATGTATTATGACGAAAGTTGTTTAATAAATTAACACTCAGTAATGCAGTTTGACAAAGCTACGTAATCTGCTTCTGAACTAGATAATGCAACAATTATTATTCAAC